TCAATTGTGACGTTATTGTATTTGCTCAAATTTAAAACGAATGTCCTCATATGCGGACATCATTTTTCTCAGAAACTACATCATGTAAAAAGATAATACTTTGTTTTTACACCCATCTGGTCCCAATTAGCCGAAATATTAAATGCTTGTGGAGGCTCTCAGTCGTACAGGAAAGTTCCATCGTAGAAAGGGTTCTGTCATTCGTCATCTGTACCTGTGGGTAAAAAACAAAAAACAAAAAAAAACAAAAAAAAAAAACACAAAAACAAAAAAGGACGTCCTTTTTAAACTAAATGTGTTGCATCGTATCACATCGTGAAGACGGTGAAACGTATCGCATCGTGTTGCCAGAAAATTCCATGTATTGTTTAAGTATCGCATCGCTGGTAGTGCATCGAGATGTGTGTCGAATCGTCCTCAGTGCTGAGATTTACATCCTTAGTGCGGGCACGCTTGCGTGTGCGTGGGTGTGTGTGTGGGAATTCTGCATCGGTGTGCAATTGTAAAACAAGGCTGTGTGTAAAAAAAAAAAAAAAATCTGAAACTGCATTTAAGGGTGGCTCAATACTGGCTGGCCATATACGGGCCGGAGTTGTAAATTGATTTCTGGCCCAAATACTTCACTCCAGAACTGGCCCTCATCTGGTTTGCCAGAGTCAAGCCAGTGCCTCCTTTGCCACTACTGGGCCGTGTTCGGCCCACATGCATTATGCCAGTGCCGACACAAGGCCCGCTGTGCCAGCTTCATGCCGAATCCGGGCCAGATGCCTTTGCTGACTGGGCCCTTATCATTTTGGGTGAATTTAATAGAGCACATCTTAACTGTGAACTTCCCAGGTAGAGGCAGCACATTGACTGTTTCACCAGAGAAGGCAACATTCTGGATCACTGCGACACAACACGCAAAGGTTCATACCGATCGACTGTGTCCGCGCAGCGTTAGGTCTTTCTGACCACTGTTTCATACACTTAATTCCTCCATACAGGCAGAAACTCAAATGTGTAAAACCGGTTGTTAAGACTGTGAAGAAATGGACTGATGAAAAACAAGAATAATTAGACTGCACTGATTGGGGCGTCTTTGAAACTTCAATGGGCACACTGGATGAATACACAGACACTGTAACATCAAATATAAGTTTCTGTGAGGACAAGGCCTTCCGCTCCTGCAACAATAACAATCCATGGTTCACTGCAAAGCTCAGGCAACTAGAAAAGAGAAATAGGACGCATTTAGAAGTGGAGATAGGGTGTTGTACAAACATGCCTGAAACCAATTGACAAAGGAAATTAACATCGCAAAGAGAAGCTATGCAGAGAGGCTGAAAAAACAGTTCTCTGCTAACGACTCAATCTGTGTGGAATGGCCTGAAAGCAATCACAAACAATAGGACACCATCCCCCCCAAGCAGTGAACAATAAGGGTCCGGGCTGATGAACTAAACGTGTTTTTTTTTTTTTGCCGATTTGAAAAGGACACCCCCATTTCCCACATCTGCCCACCTCTACCAGAAACTACTCTATCCACACCCCACCCCCATTCTCTGCCCTACAGATTCATGAACAGGACGTGAGATGGCTCTTCAAGCAGCAGAAGATCAAGAAATCTGTGGGGCCCGACAAAGTGTCCCCCTACTGCCTGAAAGTATGTGCTGACCATCTGGCTCCGGTCTTCACACAAGTCTTCAACAGATCCCTGGAGCTGTTTGAGGTCCCATCCTGCTTCAAACAGTCTATCATCATCCCAGTTCCCAAGAAACCAGCAACATCGGAACTGAACGACTACAGGCCTGTCGCTCTGATGTCTGTGGTCCTGAAGTCCTTTGAACGCCTTGTGCTGAACCACGTAAAGAACATCACCGGACCCCTGCTGGACCCTCTTCAGTTTGCCTACCGTGCAAACAGGTCTGTGGAGGTTGCAGTCAACACAGGGCTGCATTACATCCTTGAGCACCTCGACAGCACAGGGACCTACGCAAGGATCCTGTTTGTGGATTTCAGCTCTGCGTTCAACACCATCATCCCGGAACTCCTCACCCCCACACTTTTCCAGCTCGGTGTATCCCCAACGATCTGCCAGTGGATCCTCAGCTTCCTCACGGGATGGACACAACAGGTGAGGCTGGGAAAAACAACATCATCAACATGCATCACTAGCAGTGGAGCCCCACAGGGATGCGTCCTCTCACCACTGCTCTTCTCCCTCGACACGAACAATTGCACCTCAACACACCCAGCCGGCAAACTCATAAAGTTCACAGACGACACCACAGTCATCGGTCTCATCAGAGACGATGACAAGTCTGCGTACCAACAACAAGTGGAGCAAATGGAGCTCTGGTGCAACCGACAACCTCGGGCTGAACACGCTCAAGACTTGAGAGATGATCGTGGACTTCAGGAAACATCCTTCACCACAGTTGCCCCTCACACTATCCAACCGCCCTGTGTCAATCGTCGAGACCTTCAAGTTCGTGGGAATCAGAGTCTCCCAGGACATGAAGTGGGAGGTCATGACAAACTCCATCCTGAAAAATGCCCAGCAGAGGATTTACTTCCTGAGGCTGCTGAGGAAGCATGGCCTGCCACAAGAGGTGCTAAGACAGTTCTACACAGCAGTCATCGAATCAATCCTGTGTTCTTCCATCACGGTTTGGTTTGGGGCCGCCACAAAAAGACAAAATCGGACTGCAACAGACAGTTGGGACGGCGGAAAAAATCATTGGCACTGCCCTACCCACTCTTGAGGACTTGCACACCGCAAGAACCAAGACAAGGGCATGGAAAATCCTACTGGACCCACCGCACGCTGCCCACCATGTTTTCCAGCTACTCCCCTAAGGCAAGCGCTACCGATCCATGCGCACCAAATCCAGCAGACACTTAAAAAGCTTCTTCCCCCGAGCCATTAACTCCCTAAACACTAAGCCAAATTTACCTGTAGAGTGGCTCTTTGCAAATTTGCACAACACTATGGAACAGCATTACCACTATAATCATTGTAGCTCCAGCTCTGTACTCACTTGAACCACTGTCACTGATCTGTATTCCACAGCACCAGATACTTTAAATCACTCAAGGACACCTGCAAAATTGCACACTTGTTGTGCCACAAATACTGCTCCTGGTCACTTTAAAATCGTGCAATGATTTTCTGCACAAACTTTGAAACTGTTGCAGTATTGTATTCTACCACTGATCACTAAAGCTCTGCTTGATACTTTGCACATTGTCTCACAGCTTCAATAGTCTGACAGCAGTCGGCAGGAACGAGCAGCAGTACCTCTCCTTCTTGCAGCGCGGGTGAATCAGTCTCTGGCTGAAGGAGCTGCCCAGTGCTGTCAGGGTGGCCTGGAGTGGGTGGGAGGGTCTGTCCACCATAGCTCTTAGCTTGGCTAGCATCCTCCCTTTTGCCCACTTACTCCAGAGTGTCCAGGGAGCATCATAAATCATTCTAATTGCCTTTTTTGTAGTTTAACTGGGAGAGTATTTGTGACATAGGTGTTTCCCCATATTTCTCCATACGTTAGTTCTGGCACTACTAATAACAATATAATGTGTACACAGAAACAATGTCCAAGCTTCAGTCAATTCAGAGTCATGTGCAAAAGTATGATGTTTCAAAATACAGGGGGATGAATGATGACATTGAATTGTGTTTATATTTATTTAGTGTAGTTATTTTTGGTCATATATATATATATATGATATGTTTGCCCTGTGATTGGCTGGCAACCAGTTCAGGGTGTAATCCGCCTACTGCCCAAAGACAGCTGGGATGGACTCCAGCACCCCCGCGACCCTTGTGAGGATAAAGCAGATCGGACAATGAATGAATGAATGAATGAATAATTATACATAAGTCAAGTTAAATGATACTTTATAGTATTTAGTGATGTAGAATTTGATTAGATATTAGAGTGTATATTGAGCTGTCATTCATAATCAATTAATTCATGATACAAGAGTAGGGGTTACGTTTCACTTCAGCTCACTCCTTTTCAGATACATTTAAATTGGATTACTTTCTTAGATTGTATTACTTTTATCGTACCATTTTACTTTGTTTTTCATTTGTGTGCAAAAAAGTATTTGTTTTTATGACATATTTGAAATAAACATGACAAATGAACAAGTCGCGCTTTCGTTGAATATTGCACTCTTCTTGTGATATGGATTTTTCACCCCTTTGTTTCACCAACAAGTAATTGTATTATACCTTATGTTTTCTAATGTTGCAAGGTGGCGTTGGAGTTGGATGGCTGAGAGGGCCACAGATCCATCCGTCGAGGCCAGTGGTTTTTAACCTGGGTTCGATCGAACACTCGGGGTTTGGTGAATCTGTCTCAGGGGTACGACAGAGCCTCTGCCATGGAGGTTAAGACACACCCGACTCAAGATGTCAATTAGTTATGACACACTCGCTTGGCCATCGCTGGCTGCAAATGATCATATTACATTGCTTGTCCAATCAGTGCTGCAGGAAATTTTGTTCGCTCAGTAGTCACCGTTTCACTGTCCTGATAGTATGTCATCCAATTTAAAAAAGCTATACTCATGCCATGTAACTTTATTTACTTTTTTTTGTTTTGAATAAATGTGTTTTTTTTAATATCTTAAATTTGTAAAAAAATCATATTTTTATTTTTCACGAACGAAGGGTTCGCTGAATGTGCATCTGAACTGGTTGGGTTCAGTACCTCTAACGAGGTTAAGAACCACTGGTGCAGGCTAATAAAAACGACACGTAAATGAAATGAGAAATGCAAAACCCCCTTTTTTTATTTATTTTTTATTTTTTATTCTTTTTTTTATTTTGCAGTACGAAGATCCTGCTTGCAATGGGATAACACCAAAGAGCAGCAGAACAGGGCAAAAATCTGAAATGCACAAAAGCAGTGTGTGTGTGTGTGTGTGTGTGTGTGTGTGTGTGTGTGTGTGTGCGCGCGCGCGCGCGCGTGCGCGTGTGTGTGTGTGTGTGTGTGTGTGTGTGTGTGTGTGTGTGAGTGAGAGAAAGTTTCTTCACAGATTTTTTTTAAAACCACTGCAGCCTTGCTTTCGCCATGAAAGGTCACTGTTGCAGATGATTAAACTATTGAAGCCATTTTCAAAACAACTGGCCCAATTGTTCGGTGACTCACAGGAGCTTCATTTGTCCATCACTGCTGAAAGGGGAAAACCCATCTTGTCTTGACAAAGACACCTTTCCCTTGAAACATTACTGGTGTTTTGCCACTTCTGACTGTTGTTTTGGAAGAATAGTTGACAGGACATGGACTTGACTCCTGTAATGTGCAGGGTATGGCTCCCATATCATGTCTTGAACTTCGTCACTGGCACTATAGTACTGCTCAAGTACGGCTCTGATGCAACTACAGGTGCGATATTTGTTAGATCCAGACGTATTTATTTTTTTAACAATTCAGCCTTGATACATCACCATCATGGATTTCAACTAAAACTAACAAGTTGCAATTAAAGTTTGAAGGCTGAAGATTTCCATCTTTAAGCAAAAAATATGTACAATCATACCTCGGTTTTCGACCATAATCCGTTCCAGAAGGCTGTTCGAAAACTGATTTGTTCGAAAACCGAAACCACACTCTTTAAAAAAAAAAAAAATCTTTATTGAACACGTCTGTTCACCATGGAACGCTAAACGAGGAAGCGTCACTTCCTCGTCTACTCGAGGAAGCGTCACTTCCTCGTGTAAGGAAGGCGAGAGGAGTCAAGTGACGCATTCATATGCGCTCAGTTTGTTCGAGAACCAAAATTTGGTCGTCAACCGAGGCATAAAAAAACTCAAAATTTTTGGTCGAAAACCGATTTGGTCAAGAACAGAGACGTTCGAAAACCGAGGTTTGACTGTATATATATTATAATAATAATGTAGACATTGGAGCTATTTTATTGCCTCACTGATCTTAAGACAATTGACATGTTTGTAAATATAAGTACCATCTCATCTAATTTGATAAATAATTGTATAAGACAGTTACAGAATGTTGCCACTTAGTTTTTCATTCATTTCCTGATCCGCTTTATCCTCACAAGGGTCGCGGAGGGTGCTGGAGCCTATCCCAGCTGTCTTTGCGCGGTAGGCGGGGGACACCATGAACCAGTTGCCAGCCAATCGCAGGACATACAGACGAACAACCATCCATGCTCACACTCACACCTACGTACAATTTAGAGCAGAGGTCCCCAAACTACGGCCCACGGGCCGCCTCTGCATTTGGTCCGGCCCCCCTGAACAATACAAGGGAGTATTTTGATTTATTTTTCATCTATGTGGATTTGTATTTGATAATAAAGTTTGGCTTTTGCAATAACATGTTCCTTGATTCTGAACTATTTTCATTATTAACTATTAATTAGTAACTATTTCATAAAGACATACTGTATACTATAACATGACATTTGTTGCATCTTTCTGCAGTCTGCGCCGTGATCTGGCAACCCCAGAAAAACTATTGTAAACCTGCCCCTCTCGAAGAGAACGGGATCATGGCGAAAAGGTTAGGTAAGAGAAAAATAGATGCAGAATGCAGGATATTTAACCTAAAGTGGACAAACAATTATTTTTTTGTTCAACGCAAAGAAAAGGCTGTCTGTCTCATTAAAACATTCTAAAAGAAAGAATTCAAGTTATCCCTCAACCAGACCAGGTCAAGGACATACTAGAGCAGGGGTCCCCAACCTTTTTTGCCCCACGGACCGGTTTATGTCAGACAATATTTTCAGGGACCGGCATTTAAGGTGTGGCGGAAATAATACAACAAAATAATATGGTATGAGCTGCATGAAAACTGTGGCGTTTTCGAAATATAATAATAAACACAAGGAGCATCTAATCTGGTTGTGGCGATCTCAGAGTATTCAGACATAACTTTAATCCAGTTGTCTCGAACGTACTTTTAAGGCCGCCGTCATTTGCGATCTCCAGCAGTTTTTTTACTCATTTTGCGAGCTCCGGTGTTTGTTTTTAGCCTAATTGGTCGCGTTACGGAGAAGCGTGGCTTGACGTGTGTCAAGCTGGACACAGACGGATGTAACGGAGAATCCGGTAAGTTTTCAAAATAAAACATCTTTCGTATTCCGAAATAAATAAAACGGAATTAAGGCAAGTTCTTTCTGTGCGGCCCGGTACCAAATGCCCGGCGGACCGGTACCGGTCCGCGGACCGGCGGTTGGGGACCCCTGTACTAGAGCACCCCAGTTATCCAACCAGACCGCTCTAGTTCAGATCTGGATATCGCATTTCAAAATAAAAGGCCTCTGAAAACTGGCATGTTGACCTGATTTCTGACATGGTGACCTTTTTGCCCATTTCATAAAAAAAAAAAAAAAAAAATCTTTAAAAAAATTTATTTAAGTCAAACCTCAACCACACCAGGTCTGGGACATACGAAAGCACTCCATGTATCCAACCAGACTAGCCTCATATGGATCTGATGTTGTTGCTGTGTCCAACAATGAATTGAGGAGATTTCTCTACATGTGCAGAAAGATGTTCGAGCTACCGGTATTCTCATGGTCCATCGGAATCACGTGCCATGTCATTTTATTATTCAGTGCCATATACATACAAATAATTAACTAGCTCAATAGGAAGGCTGGTGACACCATGTGAATATCATATTCACATGACATTCAATATTTCATAAATGGTGTCATTTATTTCCTGGCTTTTGTTCTGTGAAAAATCCAGAAAAGGATATTTGAATTTGTATGGGTTTCTGGAAAACAATAATTTTTTACATTTCAGTATTCTTGCAGTCACATTTTTTCTGTTACAAACTCACCACGGCCCCCCATCACAGAAGCGAAAGGTAATGCAGCCGTCACAGGAAAAAGTTTGGGGACCACTGTTTTAAAGGGCTACTTGACATATCTACGCCATTAGCAATAGTAAAACGTTATTTCATCCGAGAATTAATCAGATAACTATTATTTTTCATGTACACGAAAAAAACATTAAAACCGATTCTGAAAATAATATCGCCGGACGCCATGTTTGTTGAACACGTTTCTAAATTACTGTCACGTGTGTAAACATAGGATGAGGCTGCACATTGACATGCATACACAGCTATGCCGAATAGAATGCATCTAGCATTAATCCTGAAAGCATGAAGACATATCGTTTCCAGCCAATGCTATAAAATAAGTCTAACGAGCAATATTCTTTTGATGTGAACGATGAAACACTGGATGGTCTTTTGATGGCCCAAAATATACTTTGGCAAACGAGTGGATCAGGAGCTGCAGCGACACGATGCTCATTCACAAGCTACATATGCATGGACAATCCTCTCATTAGCATATTTTCCTTGTGTCAGGAAGGGCATCCGACGTAAAATCTTGGCCAAAACAAACATGCGATTCAAACCTTCGAATTTCATACCGGATCGACCGAGGCCCGGATTAACAACGACCGTCATTGGCACTGTTGACCTACAGGGTGCCGGTGGAAAATGGACGATTGTTGGTCGAAGGAGAGGAGGATGGTGTGTCTGTTGGAAGAGAGAGAAGTGGAACACCAAGAGTATAGGACTGAGAGTAGGTATTTGAATGTTGGAACTATGACAGGAAAGTGTGAAGAGTTGGTTGACATGATGCAGAGGAGGAAGGTAGACATACTGTGTGTCCAGGAGACCAGGTGGAAAGGGAGCAAGTCTAGACGCTTTGGATCGGGGTTCAAGTTGTTCTATCATGGTTTAGACGGGAAGAGAAATGGAGTCGGAATTATCTTGAAGGAGGAGTTTGTTAGGAATGTCCGAGAAGTAAAAATAGTTTCAGCTAGAAATTGAAGGTGTGATGTTCAATGTTGTTAGTGGGTATGCCCCACAGGTAGGATGTGAGTTGGAGGAGAAGGAGAAATTTTGGTTGGACCTCGATGAAGTGATCCAGAATATCCCTAGAAGTGAGAGAGTTGTAATTGGTGCAGACTTAAACGGACATGTTGGCGCAGGAAACAGAGATAATGAGGAGGTGATGGGCAGGTTTGGACAACAGACGAGGAACGCAGAAGGACAGATGGTGGTTGACTTTGCTAAGAGAATGAAAATGGCTAAAGTGAATACTTTTTTTCAGAAGAGGCAGGAAAATAAGCTGACCTATAAGAATGGAGGTAGGAGTACACAGGTAGACTATATTTTGTGTTGCAACGGTGCAATCTGAAGGAAGTCAGTGACAGCAAAGTAGTGGTTGGTGAGAGTGTAGACAGACAGCATAGGTTGGTGGTGTGTAGGATGACTCTGGCGGTGAGGAGGAACAGAGCAAAAGGAGAGCAGAGGACAAAATGGTGGAAGCTGAAAAGGAAGAGTGTCGCATGACTTTTAGGAAGGAGTTGAGACAAGCACTGGGCGGTCAGGAGGTGCTTCCAGATGACTGGACAACTACAGCTAATGTGATCAGGGAGACAGGTAGGAAAGTACTTGGTGTATCATCTGGAAGGAAAGTAGATAAGGTGACTTGGTGGTGGAATGAGGAGGTGCAGGAGTGTATAGAGAGAAAAAGGTTAGCTAAGAAGAGGTGGGACACTGAGAGGACTAAAGAGAGTAGACAGGAGTACAGGGAGATGCAGCGCACGGTGAAAGTAGAGCTGGCGAAGGCCAAACAAGAGGCCTACGATGACTTGTATGCTAGGTTGGACAGTAAGGAGGGAGAGACTAATCTATACAGGTTGGCAAGACAGACATGATAAGGATGTGCAGCAGGTTAGGGTGATTAAGGACAGAGATGGAAATGTATTGACAGGTGCCAATATTGTGATGGCAGAGCTGGAGGTTGCAGAGATGAAGATGTTGAAGTTCTCTTTGAGAGTGACCAGTTTGGATCCTCGCATGGTGGGATGCCTCCAAGTGGCGCGAGGGGGAACGCCGGGGCTCTGGAGCCCCTGCTGCGGCTGAATGCCCACCAGCCGACGGGGAAGGAGGAGGGACCTCACCGGAAGGAGAGACACCCAATGCTCGCCCCGCCGGAATCCCGCCGGAACGGAGTGAAGTGGGAGTAGCCGCCCCACAACCCTCCTTAAACAAAAGTCAGGCGAGGGCCCGCTCAGGACCCGCACGTGGCGCGACGAGTTGGGACCGAGAAGGTTCCCCAGGGGTTGGGGTGGGGATGGGGAGACGGATGCGCAAGCAAGCCGGGATGGACAAAAGACATGTGGGTGGATGGGTGAAAGACAGTCTGGTGGGGATTCACCCCCATCCAGGCCCCGGCAACAGGAGGGGAGTAAGAAGCAAATACGACAAAAGAAAAGAGAGGAATGAAAGAAGGGGAGACAGGAGGAAATTAAGAGGGGGAGAGGAAAGGGGAAAAAGAACTGAAACTCGGGGTAAGAATGGAGAACGAGTGATAGTCACAT